TGCTGCAGCAGCCTGAGCGGTTTGGGGGGTGGGGGCAGGTTTTTCCATGGTTTTTTGGAGGAATTGGGGGGAAAATCTGCTGTGGCTCTGTATTTATTGGTGCGTGAAGGTCTTCTGCAGGCGTTCCCCCCTCCCTGCCGGCCGCAAGACTGAGCTCTGTGCCCTTCTCCTTTGGCAGTGACATGGGGGACCACTTCATCGTGCCCTGCGGCGCCTGCAGACAAGTGATGAGAGAGGTGACAGCTCGCACAGGGGGCCCACATCCCCTGACCCCAGGCATCTCCCCCCAAAACACTCGGAGGTGCAAAGGGGGGGTTGCAGCCTCCCATCCCCAGTGCCAGCTCCAGGCTCCTCAAATTGCTCTATCCACCTGGAAAGGGGTATTCCTCCCTGTCCCACGGGAGCAGGTGCCTGGTGGTAATCCATTAACTCGCCCTTCCCAGGGGGTTTTATTCCTCCCGGGAGCTGCGGGGTGCAGAGTTTGGCCCCGGAGCCGTCACCCCGGCTCTGGCAAGCCTGAAAATGGGGGTTTTCCTGCAAAAGCCAAGTTCCCTGCGGAGCCCGTCCCGCTCTCGCCGCCGCCCTCCCCACAGGCACCCTGGCACCCGCAGCCCGTTTTTGGGTGGGTAATATTTAATGGGTCACGGGACTCGGCTCAAAGGCCGGATTTGGCAGGTTCTGAAGGACCGGGGCTTACCCTGGGGGGGTAAAAACCCAGGATCTGAGCCTAAAATACCCCTTGGGGGTGGTGATGCTGAAAAGCCACCCCAAAACACTTGCAATGGAGGGGAATGCTCCCTGTGAGCCCGGCCAAAAAAAAAAAAAGATTATTTCAGTAATTTGAGGAAGGAGGGCAGGTTTTGCATCGGGTACTTCTCCCCCCTCTTCTCCTCCAGTTCGGCACGGACTGGGACATCTACCTGACCAAAGCGGACGGCACCTATATCGTCAAGAGGCTGGAGGAGCTGCTGCCGCTCTCCTTCGGCCCTGAGGACCTGAAGAAGGTGTGAGCAGCGCGGCCGCCGCCGGCCTTTGCCCTTCGGCAGCGGGAGAGGATGGTTTTCCCCGGTTTCCCCGGCGTGTAAGCGGCTTTTTGGGGACGATGCAATGGGAAATGCGATTATAGTGTTAAGTTACCCGTTCCTCTGGCTCATCTTCTGATTCAGGACCGGTTCGCAGATGCCGGCCCTGCCTTGCCCCTGGGAAATGGTGAAATCAAATAGCAGAAATTCCCTGTTATTAGAAAAAAGGGTCCAGATATCACTGTAGGCGAGGGGGGAGGTCACAAATGGAGAAAGGTTTGATGCACGGCTCAGGCTCAGGCTTGTTGGTAGAGAAACCACTCCCAAATGATGCAAAATCACTGCTTGGGCAAATGCTGAATTCTTCAGCTCTAAACGAGAAGCGAAAGCAAAAAGGAACGGCTCTGTCAACCCCAGCAGTTATTTATAAGCCAGTTCAGATTAGGCAGTTTGCTGGAGCTGGACGGTTATCATGCTCAGCATGTCCTTTGCTTCTCTCTGGCTTGTTTCTCTTGCTTTTATTCCGTTAGGTGGGGATGAAGAGGGAGAGGAGTTTTGGGGGGCTTCTGGAGAGTTTTCTGTCTCCAGAGTCAAGCTCTTTGCCGACTGTACTATTAATTTAATTATGCACAATGATGAAAAACGAATGCGTTACATTTCCCGGCCGGCGCTGGGTTGGGCATTACTGCCTGTGCCCCAGCGAAATAAAAGCA